TAACTAGGGTACGACGACTAGATAGTAGGTAACGAAACCAAACCAACCCCAACCCCCTACCCTACCTTACCCTTCCTCCTCCCTCCTTTCCTTACTGTCACACTACTCGTGACTACTCTCTCTCTCTCTCTCTCTCTCTCTCTCTCTCACACACACACACACACAAGCCCCCATAAACTTCCAACAATTGCCAATCTTAGAAGCTAGAAACAATCAAAGGAATCTAGTGGATGCTCTCTCTCACTGTCTCTCATCCCAATCCCATGCTTTTGATGCAATTTCCACTCTTTTAAAATCAATCAAAAGAATCTTATGAGAACTTTACTGCCAAAACTCATCACAAAGGCAAAAGAATAACAGAAAGGCAAATGATGAGAAGAATATAGAAAATAACAACAAAACCCAAATGGGAGGTTATAACAACCTGTTAGCTTGAAAAGCTAGCATGCAAAATCAACCCTTGAGTTGGCCACCCTTGATCTGCAATTTACTCATCCCACACGCCACCTTCTCCAATCCTGGCTGCTGCTTCTCACCACCTACTCCTGAATTCTTGCCCAAAATCCATGGGTGCTTTAGGCAATGCTCAGCTGTTGGCCTCTTCTCTGGTGCAAAGTCAAGGAACGGCAACAAGAACTCAGCGAACTCTTTTGCATCGATCTCTGAGAAAGCATATTTCTCAACAAGGAGACGATCCAATGGCCAAAATTTCAATCTCCTAATCCTCTTTAGGTCACCATGCCTATCGAAGAGATCCTTGGATCTAGAACCCCCAAGGGCTATCTGAATTTCAGTTTCAAAGGAAAAAGAGGCGGCAATATCAGTTTGGATGAACTTGGTCTTCCCAAGTTTAACGAAATGGTAGTTAGTAAAAGATGAAAATAAGTTATAAATCTAAGAAAAATAATTATTTTCCGGTTAAATGATAGTTGATAACACTACTCCCAGTGTGTTCCTAAGAAGGAAAGTGACAGAAAGATAGTGGACTTTTAATTACCTTTCGAGGGATTTTTCCGAGGAGTTCCATCATCAGAGCCAGGTGGTCCTGAAACCCAACAATTTTTACTTTAGTTGCAGGGCGCCAGGGCCAATGGGGACACCAATTCAAGAGAAGATCATGGAAGTTATTGAGGATAAGCCTAATATATATAAGTTTATCTCAATACTTCTCAAGATAACTGCCATAAAGCATTCTAATAAAATCCACGGTACTTTCTTTTTCTATGGAAAGCACAAACTTCCATGACCTGAATACATTAAACTTGGGCAAAAATAGGAGATTGCATCAGTAACTTAAGACTGATGGAGCTCATTAATAGTTCGAGTTAAGATGAAAGAGGACTTTCTGAAACATTCAGATCATTATTCTGCTTTTATCTTTTCACTGCTTTATCTTTTCTTTGTAAGCAATATTATCCATTTATGTTTACATGGTAAACCAGAGATATTCCAAAATATGATCCAAAGGAGCTTTAGATGGAAAAAAACAGAGCATTTGACTGCCATTAGCTCAGAAAAGGAAAACTGAGTTATGGACAGTTTAGATTGACTACTCATAGCTATTGTCACTATAACCTTTCTAAAAGAAAGCAATCAAGAGCCATCTATAGGCCTACAATTACAATGACGAACACTAGAATTGTGGAAAACAATGACACAAGCGTCGCATCTACAATTATGACAGTTACAAGCAACAATCGTTGCGCATGTGTATATGCATGTGCGGCAGTGCATGTGAATCAGAAGCAATAGCATCATGATCCAGCTGGAAAACTGGAGCAACTGAGCAAAATTCACCACTAACTCGGAAGAAAAATTAGATCAAAACGATTCCAAGTGATACTTGACAGTTAACAGTGGTATCGTCACAATAAAAGGACATGCATTATTCGGTAGCATATCACTGCAATGACTAGCAAGAACCACATAATTCTAATATAGAAGCATAACGATGCAATCAAAACAATTACAAACACAAACCACAAACTTCTGATGTAAGAGCTCTCTCTCCTTCACTGTTCTACCCCAACAAGAAAGAGCTCTCTCTCTCTCTCACACACACACGCACAAGACACATGCCTGCACATTTGAAACTTCAAGACTAGTAAATTAGCACACATACCTCATCGACGTCGTATCCTTGACCACTATTTGGCGCAAAGAGCATATCCCCAGTTGCTAACTCAAAAGCGATGCAAGCAAATGACCACATGTCTACAGAGGCCAAATAACCAGAGCCCAATAAAACCTCAGGCGCCCTATACTGCCTCGTCTGTATATCCTCTGTAAGTTGCTTATCAGCCCAACAAGCATTTCCCAAATCAACAATCTTGCACCTCAAATCAATGCCCTCCAAGCTCCTTTCCCTCTTTCGTGAACTCTCTGAATTCCCCATAATACCCCTCCTCTCTGATATCTTAGCAACTGCTCTCTTTGCCTTTTGCTTCAATTTCTTCTCGATAAAGGTGATATTCCCATTATTGACAACCGTTTCAGGCTTCTCGAGGATTGGAGGAGACCCTGATCGAATGGGGTCTTTTGCAGGATCAATGGTAGATAGTAATAAGACATTCTCTGGTTTTAAGTCCGCGTGAATTATGCCTAAAACTCTATGGAGATAATCAAGGCCTAGAAGGATTCCGTGGCAAATTTGTCCAACTTTATATAGTTCCAGTCCTTTGTAACGATTGTACCTGATGAGTGATAGAAGACTATCGCCCAAGAACTCAAAAACCATGCATATGTGCTGGCCATTGGGACCCGAGTGTTTGAAGTGGTCAAGAAGGTGGACGATTGATTCTTCGTTATCAGGGTCCCCATTGCTTACAGCGGTGAGAATTTCAATCTCATGGAGGGCGGCCTGAGCAAAATTTTGGGCGCTTTTCTGGACCTTCAGGGCCACATATCTCTGTGAAGGGAGAAAGAAGTGTGAGAAACCATGAAATTTTGGAATGTGAAAAGCCAACAGTAGGCAAGGTGGCATATGTTTCACTCTAATTTAGCGAGAGAAATTTTAAATAGTGGGTATGAAATGTTCAGAAAAAAATGAAATGATAAACCAAAAATTCAAAACCAAGAGAAAGAAATGGTTCCTCTGGAGGAAAAGAGAGCTCAAAATGGGATAATATGAGAGAGAGAGAGAGAGAGGCAGCATCAAGACACCCATAAATTGTCTGAAAATGGATGGTTTCCCCCGTCTAAATAAGAACCAAGAATAGGAAATTTAACAAACACATGGGAAAAAAAACCTATTGGAAAAAAAAAAAAACATCAACTATAAACCAAAAGCGAATGCGGGTCTGAAATGAGAATGATGTATCTGAAACTCAGAAAATACCCAAGAAGACAGAAATAACGCAAAATTAATAAATGAACAAAACATTGCAATTCCAATAACACAACAAGGATAAGTAAGCCAAAGAAGCTGGCCAGGTTTTTCTGAAGTTTCCTCCATTAATCAGAAAAACAAAAGAAGAGTAGATTATCAGGTGATGGGGTTTCCAAGATACATCAATAAATAAAGAAATAATAAAAAAAGAAAAATATGGGTTTCACAGATACTCATCAATTACCAGCTTCCCACAATTAGAAAAGAAGAGGATCACAATTCCCCTCGGACAAATAAAATGAAAAACAAAACACGCAATAAAAAGATCAAAAAATATTCCAATAGAAAGGGAAAAGCTTGTGTTCATGGATCTTCATAGCGATCAGGCCAAATTTAATTGAAATTAAGCCTCAATAAAAAATAAGAAAATAAAAGAAAAGCATAAAATCTATGGGCTTCAGATAAAATTAAAAGACAAAATACGAATTGGGTTAACATAGGACACTCTTAAACAAAAAATAGACAAATCAAAAAAATGAAAAATTGGGTGTCATTTCTTTTTCAAAATTTAGCTAATCAAATGAAACTGAACTTGGGTTCAAGAATTACAGAGTGAAGTGCATCATAGGCGAGCCAAACGGTGGAGAAATGGCCCCATCCAAGCTTTCTCTGTACAATATAACGAGCACTCTTAAAGCGATCAGCAGGTCTAATGTCGTGATAGCCTCCCTTCCTATATTCCTCAGTTCCTTCGTCTTCTCCCTCTGAGGCAGAGGACGAAGAAGGGGAGCAGCCACAGGAGATGCCCCTCATTGGATCGCCTGTCGCCATTAAAATTTGCAGAGTGAAAAGCTCCAAAAGTTGAGAGAGAAAGAGAGGGAGGTGGGTAGTGTCGAAGAGGAGAATTCGGAAGCGGAAAGATGAGAGAACTGGAAATTTGGAATTTAGAGAGAGAGAGAAGCTTTGGAATTAAGAGAGAGAGAGAGAGAGAGAGAGAGAGGAGGAGCGGCGTCGGCTTTGGGAACGAGTTTGGTGAAGATGGCTGTTTGTTACCTCATTCCTGTTTTCAAAATCGGAATGTACGGTAATACCCTGATTATAAAACGGAAATCACTAACTTGCCCATACTTGTGAAGAAGATCAAGCTATTTGAAGCTCAATAGTCGATATAAAAGGGGTGGATTTATATTATAAAAGGGCAAAGAGTTTATATAAGGTTTACACCTTAAATACTTGCCCAAAAAAAAAAAAAAAAGGGGGTCGACACCTTAAATCATAGAATTGAGATGCATTTTAAAAATTCACATAAAAAGGCTATTTAGATGTTGAAAGATTATCTAAGTGATCATATCGACATCGAGATGCATAGATATAGAAAAAATAAAGATTTCATCATCATCATTGTCATATAGATCTGCTTGATTTAAATATTTTTTGAGTTTAAAATTTTATAATTAAAGGTAAAATAGATTCTTAAGCCCATTCTAAAAAACAAATATACCAAAATTACATCTTTGATAAAATAAATTCTCAAGCCATTCTAAAAAAAAAATTATACCAAAGTTGCATCTTCTCCCTTTTATTGTTTAAGGTAGCAACCGCCCACACTTGGATACAAAGACGAACAGCAGGCAGCTTAAAGCACAACACAAGCAAATGAGAGGATTTGTTTGTCATTTTTGTGGATGTATGGTCAACTAGCTCATCAGTGGAGCTTTTTCTTTTTTGGAAAAGCTGAACAAAAGAGATCTAGAGAGAAAAAGGGGCAGAGAGGTGGAGATGGATTAATAAACAGGAATATAATAAATGGATGTAGCTTGTATAAACTGTCAACCTTAAACCAATCCGACTTATCCAAAAAAAAACCTTAAACCAATCCCAGTAAAGCGCACCTCCAGAATCCCATCCAAAAATGTGATTTTTGTGACCAGGAAATTTACTCCACATTTAATATGAAACTTAAAACTCAAAAAAATAATATATATTGAGCATATCTATAAATAAATAAAAATTTTGATAGCAGACGGTCTAGATGATGTATATGACATATCATTTTTTTGAACTTTAAAATCTTCTTTCTTTTTGACATGGAGGCCAATATCCTCGGGATGATCAATTAGATGGTTTTTCAGCATTGGGTCAAATTTTTTCCATAGATTTTTAATCCGTGCATTTTTTTCTACAGTACAATGTTGCAACCTTATATAAATTTCTTCAATTCGATAATTAAATATTGGATCCACTCTAAATATTAGATCCATTTTATGCTACAACCTTATCAAAAGTCCGAATCAACTCCAACTTGCCAGCCTCTGATCTAGTTTGGACTAAAATTGGGTTATATATAACAAAGAGATTGGACAAAGCCACAAGGCTAGAGAATTGGATCGATTCCGGTTTTTTTACCCAAAATCGCCTTAAAAACCTGAATGCCACTCGACTTATTCTTATATAGTTCTTTCTTCTTCTTTTTTTTCGGTCAAGGGCTAGATCATTAAGGAAAGGATCCCCCGTCTCTAGTTAGAATAAAACTCAAGACGCCATGTTGTGTGATATTCACCTTTGACCACTTAAGAGTCCATTTTCATTTGTATAGGGCCCATCAAAAAAAATACGATGTCCTATCTTTAGAAGGTTAGATCTAGGTCTTTGAAAGTCCAAGAACTATCTTCTTAAATGGAATTGTGGTGATTCTCAAGTAAATTCCAATATTCAAAATTATTTTTAAAGCTCTATAAGCGAGTCTATAATATAAGCACGCTACACATGGTTATCGTAAATTGACACACAAGAAGAGAGCCCGCAATAATACTTTAAAGCCAGGCTCCCAAAACTTGACAACAGGGCACTACTCTACTAGATTCCGTTCACAGTTAAGCCACGGATTAGAGCTATTTGGGATAATGGTTGGATGATGATTTTGGTATCATCATCATCATTATCCAATCCAGTATAGATCATCGATTCCACATTCTGATACGGATCTATGGCGTGATTGATGACCCGCAACACGAGTTTTGAAACACTGAATAAAATTATATTTTTCAAAAGGAAACAAAAAACAACATTGTTGGTCTAACATAAATTTAGATAAATAGTGTGTTTATAAAATTTTAGGGATTGTCTACAATTTATCTTTTATACATAAAAGTCACAATCGTTATTGTACATTAAATTTCAAAATGGGCAGTTGTAAGAGTGTCATTGAATAGACACAAAGTTCCAAATAAAAATTTTCTTGGACTTCGCGACTCACCCAAACCATCCAATTTAACATCTAATGAGTGAGAATGATTGTTACCTTCATGTAAAAACGACAAATGGTCTATTTGTAAACAATCCCAATGGCTTATAGGGAAAATTACAAAAAAACCCCAAAACTACACTTTTCTATGCAACTTGCCCCCAACCTAATTTTTATCTAACTTTTTTTCCCCAAAATATATTTCTATACAAAACCCCCCAACCAAATAAAAAATAAAAAAATACCTAAACTACCCTCCCTTACTTTTTACTTTACCCACGCCTCTCTTTCCTCTATCCCACCAAAATACTGGGCTCCGGTACCATGTGAGTGCGGTCTGGTAGTAGCCCTCTAGCACTGTATAAAATACGGTTCGGCAGTAGGGGCCCCGGCACTATGTAAAGTGCGGTCCAGCAATTGAAAATGGCGGTATGGCAGTTTGCAAATAGTGGTCTGGCAGTTGCAAAGGGCGGTCCAGTAGTTGCAAAGGGCAGTCCCGCACTTGTGCGCTCTGACAATGTGATACTAGGATCCAAAAGTCAACGCCAAATTTGTTCAAAATGATTTTTGTGTACGAGAAGGGCATTTCCATCTAAAAAACTGATTTTTTTCTCTTGGGGAGGTATTTGCATAGGAAGTTTATTTTGGAGAAAAAAGTGAGAGAAAAAATTAAGTTGGGGTAAGTTGCATAAAAAGTGTGGTCTTAGGGGTTTTTTGTAATTTTCCCTAATTTATAAGGTGATTTTAGGAAACTCAAATTATTTGTGCTACGATTGCAACAGACTATCCATTTGCTCATTGGGCAAAACCCAATCTAGGGGGTATTTTTAGGGGGAAAGCTTTCTATGCTTCACCTAAAGCATAAAAGTTATATACTTTGCCTCATCCAACCGTCCACTTTGAATGGAGGGCTAAGATTGCCCAAATCACAATGTCACGTTACTACACTATTTTATTTTAAATTTTTTTCTATGAACTATTTTGATGCCAAATTTTGGACGTCCAATCCTCTATTAAACTCGCACTAGCGAAAAGTATAAAACAAAATTTATAATAAAACAAAAAGACCAAAATACCTCTGAAAGTTTCAAGGGGTATTTTGGTCATTATATTTTACCGAAATTTTATTTTTAATATATTTTTATAGGTGCACCCCGATGAGAAGATTACATGTACCAAATTTCATATTTATACAATTTGTATAAAAAAACTAAAAATAAAATATTTTTAGACGTAGGATCTAAGATCAAACGGCGAATGACTCTCTTGATCAAAATTGGACTGCTGGATGGTAGGGGAAGCATAGATCTTCTATGTTGTAGTGGAAATATAGAAGCCTCTCTCATTTTTAGGGCCCTAAAATATTTGAATGTCTCAACCTACTATCCAACTTAGAAGAAGAAATCAAAAAATTTCTAATGCAATCCCTGCAAGCCTTTAAAAAAATGTTATGATATTGAAGTTATGTCATCCAATTTCTAGATTCAGAGATCTGAGTGTTGGAGAACTTAGAATCATAGTTTCTTTTTGTTTTTTGAGTTTTTTTTTTAAAAAAAATAGTCATCTGATTATTTAATATAGCTTGTTCACCTGAGGGAGCAAGTGGAAGGTGTTCCCTCACGACAGACAAAAAACAATGTGTGTAAGGCAAAAGTCTAACTGATATATGTGTGTGCACGTTTGTGAATATGTGTGTGGAAAAAGTTCATATAAGGTTGCAACTAAGGTGCACCTCATAAATCAAGTAGAGAAGAGTGTTCAAAAGTTAGAAAACCTTTCGATTGATCATCTCGACCTCAAGATATATGCAGGTATAACGAAAAAAGAATTTCAACTTACAAATAATACATCTTGTAACAAGTTATCCAAACCATCTATTATCAATATTTTAAGGTATTTATAGATTTGCTTGATTTACACTATTTTTAAATTTTAAAATTTCATAACAGGCTTAAAATGGATTATAGTTTTTGAGACTGTAATAACACCTCCTGACAAAATTTAAAAGGGGGCCTTACTTGTTTGGTACAACGTCGGTACCTTAATACAAACTCACCCTACAATAAGACCATTTATAGAGGTCACAAATTATTTACCATTAGAAATTGGGTTATTGAGGATGTGTCATTGACTAGGTAGAATGTCAAAAATATTACTACTTGTGTATTTCTTATCCCATAAGAGGCTGGTCTTGTAGTATACAATCCTTATATATATTCTCCCTTATAACTAGATTTTTATAAGATTTGGGAACAATGTGAAATGTTGTGCATTATAGTTGGTGGTATTTATCCTAAAGTATGAAGAATGTAAGAAAATATTTTTGGAGAGTTTACCATACACCACAAGAGATGATTGGCTTGTTGACTTGTATTTTGCTTGGAATTGGAAATGGACAAGAGTGAAAGAAGGACACGTGTGATCTAACCCTTGTAAGTGAAAAAAGAACACGTATATACTATTTTTTTTTTTTTTTCAATTCTTTTAAGTCTTTTTACAATGTAACAACTTCAAATAAAGTAAAAAATAATAATACAATAGGATCTCAAGAACTTGAAGCCATTCAAAACTACACTTTTCATTAACAAATAAAAGATACAACCTAAGCTTGGAAATAAAAAGATATAATAAATAAATATGGAAGAAACAAAAGAGGGTAACGAAGATTACCTCAACCGAGCTTTTACACCCCGCACCGAGTCACCACCTTCCAATGGCATGGGATCTAATGATCAACCTTCAAGGACTAACCCACTAATCAAGGTCTCCCCTACAGATGAATCATGGTTACCCAAACCTTTATGCAATCCATATCTCAATGGTATACATGGGTATCTC